GTATCTTGTTTCAACCGCAGAAAGACGTCAATACACACTGTAAGAGTTTATTTACTCTTCTGTCTGGTTTGTTTGTCAGAAAAAAAGTCAGATTCTGCATTATGGTTGGTCAGATCGCCTGTTAGTCAAACTCCCAGCGAAGGGTAAATTGATCTCTCTTATTGTGTTCTAGTGAATTTTTTCCTTTTTTTTTTTTTGTCCTTAAAGTGGAGTGTCGTTCCGTAAAACTGGCTCCTTCAGCGTTTCAGATATTACACAATCACTCAATATAGATGGTTGTTTGGAAGCACTGTCTTGCTGTGACTATTATGTATAGAAATTGAATACGCTCTTCAGTTCATTAAATGTATAACTACTTATTTTGCCACTGATTAATCAGCAATCACTGACATGTTCTGTGATAAAGCGACAAAAAGCATGTCTATGTACCATTTAATTCTTACGAGAAAATAAAGTAATGAAAATATTCATAAAAAAATTAAAGTGTATGTTGATTTTGGGCCAGTTCCCACCTCCTTCTTCCCATATCAACTAACTTCGTTACATTGGAGCCAAAACCCTGGAACAAGGAACTGGCTCAAAATGAAAGTACACTTTAATTCACAAAACAAGCACACACAAAAACATAAAACGTCCCAGGCCTGGTCCTCTCTCTCCCTCCACCATAGTCACTCCTCTAATATTCTTTCAGAATATACTTTCGGAACTCCCACTTGGGACTTGACCAGTGTGGCACGTTAGCACACGCGCCGCCGGCCACACTGCTTGCCACAGTAACATATTTTTTTATTTTATTATTATAGAATAAAATAAAGTAATACAAAATTAAATAATAGAACTGTTTATCTTTAAACTACATGTTGGTAATTGTAAGTCAATAGTCTGAAGTGCATATTAACAAACTTGACTGGAAACTATTCACAGTTCTGAAATGAGTCATCTGTCATTTTTTGTTATTATTATTTTTCTTATTATTTTTATCGATGTTAAAAACAGATTTGCTGCGTAATAATTTTTGTAGAAACACATGCATTTTTATTTCAGGATTATTTGATATATAGAAACTTCTAAATAACAACATTTACTTGAAATATACATTTTTATAACAATTTAAAAGTCTTTATGGTCACTTTTGATCACTGCATGATCGCTAAATAAAAATGTTAAATTATTTTTTGTAAAAAAAAAAAAAATTTACTGACCCCAAACTTTTGAATGGTGTATAGTGTACATGCACTACTAAAGATGACCAAGTGACACCTGGAAATAAAATGTACTTATAAATTTGAATAACATTTAATTTGTTGCATTTGCAACCATTTTGGTCACATTCTGGAGGACTGTGTCATTGTCACAGGTTCCAATTTCTCTGTCCTGACCCCATTTCCCTGGTTTCATTTTATCTCTTATAGTTATCACTTTCTCTCTGTCTCATATCTCACTTCTGAATTATAATTGAATGGATGACTCGTGAAATTAAGAAGTGGCTATTTAATTGTATGTTTTCAATTATCCTCCTTGATGTATTATCATTGCATCTGTGCTCTCTAGCTGTATACAAGTCAAGTGTTTGTTCATTTGTCAAACTAATCTCTCAGGCAAATGTTATCATCAGTGTTGTGATCACAACAGAATATGTTTGCTACCATTTATATGCATGTTTCGTCTTGGTAAGAATGAGTGAGGAGCCCTCCCTGGGCTTAACGGGAAATCAGGAGCCCTTCCTGGGGTGAACTGGGGATCAGGAGCCCTCCGTGGGCCACTACTCGTAGAAGGGGAGATCTTGGCGGGATATGGCGAGGAAACGAGCAGCGATCTCCATGCTGCGGGAAGGAAAAACCAGGAAACAAAAAAACTTTCAAAAAAGGGAAAAACGAGGAGAAGGGGAGCTGCTTACTTTTGTTTTTGGTCTGGAATTCTGTCACGGTCTGGTGGTAGTGTGAAGAGCACGGAGTGAGGAACGAGGAGACCAGGAATACAAAACGAAGGAGTTTAATTATATCACGGGGAATCACACATAGCACAAAGAGTTGACATTGACATACAATTCCAGACAA